CAACAACAACAACAACAACAACAACAATGAAAATACGTTACGACGTCCTAGGCCCCTGGGTGGGGCCTGACTAGTAACCAATGCCAAATCCGGCGAAACAACTGGCCGCTGTGATACAATTGTATAATAATAATAGTAATAATAATATAATACACAGAGATTAGACAGCACGGTGAGAATTAGCTGTTCAGCAGAGTGATGGTATGAGAGAAAAAACTGTGCCTGGGTCTACTGATTTTGCCCTATAGCACCGTTCTGATGGTAGAAGTTGAAACAGTTTATGCCCAGGAGGTGAGGTGTCTACAGATATTTTCTCGGCCCTCCTTGTGACCAGTGTAGTATATGGGTTTTCAATGGAAGGCAGGCTGCTTGCAGTTGCTTTTTCTGCAGTCCTAACCACCCATTGGAGTCTGTATCTGTACCAAACCAAACAGTTACAGAAATATAGATGAAACTCAACAATTCCTCTGTAGAATTGTATCAACAGCTCCTGGGGACTGTCTGGACTTCCTGAGTTGACACAGGAAGAACATTCCTTGTTGTGTCTTTTTAATGGCGATTCTAACATTAGGTGTCCGTTTCCAGTCATGGAAGATCATAGAACCGTAAAACCAGAAGAACTCTACTGCTGATACGGTCCTGTTGAATAGAATAGTAGAATAGTTTCCATTTGCCAAAACCAATAGAAAAAAACTTACAAGGACTGAGCTGTCACCATAAATATCAGAAACCTTATTTAAAGTACATTTACAAGTACCATTCAACAGTAAAAGGGATAAAGTTTATTATTTTGTAAACAAATACATTAAAAAAGACTCCACGGCCCTTTTGAGTTATAAAGGGCAGCTATGTTTTCCTTATCTTATACAATATGCTGGCATGCATTTAAGAGTTCAATTACAATAACACATTTCTGCCAGATGTGCACTTACATGTTATATTTAGTGGATTTTATTACCTGCCTTTCATTAATTTATATTTACTACTGAGTGAGAATAAAGACAAGGTGCCTGAGCCTGAAATGATAGAGTTCTTCTGCCTTTAGTGATATGATTGCCATTTTAATATCTAAAGCTGATGCAAACGCCATTCCAACCAATTCCCACCAAAATGGATGTGGGTACTCAAATATTCTTCATTGCAACATGTGGGGCAATTATTAATTGCAGGACTAGAGAGAAGGGTTCAGCATATCTTTTATTTGGGGTGTGCCTCACTCCAAGCCTTCAGGGGACCATGAGACAGACTCTTAAGGCAGAGAAGTGAAAGGAAAGAGCCAAGGCTGACTTGAGCCCAGTCCTGCAGCAGGCGATGTGCCAGTAACAGGAAAGCAAAGCCAGCCTGGCAAGCTCTATACAAGTAGATCAAAAGTTTGCGCAGTGAATTAAAAGAAAAATCCAGAATTCTGCAGGCGACATTGGGGGGTCAAAGGGGGGGGGTCCCCTTCACGGCTGGAGGAAAAGAGAAGCGAGAACCACTAGGTGATGCCTGATGGCGCTAATCTCCGGTTGCACCTCCTTGGACATGGGACGCCGTTGCTCCCTTCTAGGAACGGGGTACGCGGCAGGATCGGCAGCAGGCCTTGCTGTAGTACCAGTGGCCGCAGAGGTTCACCTTAATCGCCAGAGCGCAGTTGGTCCCTGCCTGGTCCTGGCAGCTGTCGTCTGTGGGAGGGCCACAAGGTCAGGGAGGTCATCTGAGGCAAGATGGGGCACATTGGGCCCCAGTGCCTGTCCCAGTGCCAGCCTCCACCTTGTCTGCCCAAGCGCTGAGCAGCATCAAAGCTGCAAGGGATGTGGGCTGGTCTCCCTTCTGGCTCTTGGTCACCCATGCAGCATCAACCCCACGGTTTTATTTTGAACGTGGTCTTTGGGGGTGGGCAAAGAACTGGGGGCTTTCCTGAACCTCTGATCTGCACCAACACTGCATCTGACAAAATGGTGCACACAAAATATTTCCACTAAAATAAAATTCCTTGGGGTGCATTTTCTTCCTGAAAAAGAAAAGCTCAAGGCAACCCTCTTATTGAAGTTGCCCAAAGAATTCAAAGTTCCACAGAGGATCTGGGCATTCCCCTTCCTCCAGCTGAGGTGGGCGTCGGTCTCTTTCTGCTCCTGGTTGAGTCTGCTTCCTTTCAGCTGCTACCTCCTCAGGGTAAAAGGACGGGGTCCTCCCTCCCCTCAGGTGACCTGGCACAGACCCCCCAACCCCTCTCCACTGCAAATTGCCAGGAAGTCCTTCGGGGGGGGGGGAAGGTGGCCAAGGGAAGAACTTCTGGGTCCACTTCTGGAAAGGGGAGACTCATCAGATGTTTCACGTGGAAGGTTGTGGTCAGATCAGCATAAGGACCAGGAAAGAGACAGAAACTGGATTTCCCAGTGCCGGGGCTCCAACATTGCTGGGCATGGCTTGCTGATGGCACTTAAGCTATTTCCCCCCCCCCCTTGTCTGCCAGGCATCCCAGCTAACCTGGTGGCTCTGTTGGGCAAGGATGGAGGTCACAGGTCTGCTTCGCAACTGGTTTCAGGAGTGGGTCACACCCACGGACAAGATCCTTCCCTTGGTAACACTTGACATCACGCATCCGCACTCCAATTCCGCAGGTTTTTGTGCACTGGGAGGGAGGAACAACAGCTCTGTTGTTCAACCAGAACAATTCAAAAGGAGTTCCAGCCCTTCAGAAAAGGTGGCACGCAAAGAAGAGGAAGAGGAGGAGGAGGAAGAGAAACAGCAGGAAACTAGTAGTTTTGCAGCCGTTTTAAATACACTGTAGGTGAGCCAACATCATCACTCCTGAGCTCTTGGCTGCAATCGATGGGCTGCTGCTGCTTTCAAATTGGTGCAGTGTCCTAATGCAGGAAGCCCAGGAGACAATCCGCCTTCCCCAGCCCCACTACTCCCAAGCCCATCCAAAGCAGCTGGGGGAGGGAACTTGCACATTTCATCTCTCGGGAGTTTCATTTATTTTATGTGTTGGGACTCTTAAGAAATTTGTTCTTAACTCAGCACCCCACAGCTTCCTCCTCTATGCTGGGGGGGCAACAGCTGTGCATGCCAAGAGGGACTCTCTGCCCCTTTGCCCCTATATTTGCACCTATATTTATAGCAAGGCCTGCCCTGCTATTGCAGGAGCATCTGCAGAGAAGGTTCCAGGGGAGAGGGACTTGCTGGGGTCATCTCTGCTGCCCAGAAACCCCACTGGCTCTGGGCAGTGCAGCAAGACCTGTGGGAGCTCCAGACAGTGACCAATGAGCCATCATGGCTGACAGGCCAATGCGAGCCTCTCACGGCCTGGAGCATCAGGCATAATCGGAACCAGGTGTGCTTTTTTGGAAGCCCAGAGACACAGGATCTGTTGAGCAGAGAAAGGACATCAAGTTCCGGGCAGGGAACTGGCCAGGGGATCATTAGTCTTGGAATGACCGTTGACTTACCTGAACAGTCCTTCTATGTGTGCTGTGAGAGGAATCCAAGCATTTTGAATTTTTGGTACTTTAGATAGAAATTGAGCCATTTCAAGTCTAGGATGTCCTGCCATCCTCCCGAGTTCTTGGGAACTAGGATAAGTATGGAGAAGCCCAGGCATCTGAGGTTGTGGCTTCCCATTGGTGGGCAAAGGCAGCTAAATGCCCGCCAATAGGGCCAACTTCGTGCAAGTCACCAGTACCTACGAAAGGACCAGTTGTTGGAGCCATGAAAAGGCCGCTGGGCCTGGGTCTATTGTTGGTGTTGGCGTCTACTTCTGTCCCTATTGGATCTATCCTGAAACCTGTCCTGAGGCTGAGAAAAGGATCTGTTAAATAGAGAGGTATAGGGAAGGGGAGTATATCCCGAATCCTCTGCACGAAATGGCTGCCACCGAGGGTAAGGTTGTTGCCGCCTATCTGTCTGCCTGGTGGTCGAAGGGAGCAGCTTTCGCTTGTCCCTCGTCTCAATCAATATGGGGTCAAGTGCCGCTCCAAAGAGGGACCTGCCCTTGAAGGGGGTGGAAGCAAGGTGCCATTTAGAGCGTACATCCTCCTGCCAATGGCGTAGCCATAAGAGGCAACAAGAAGCTATGTTGGATGACATCCACCAGTTTGATGACATCCTGATGAAGGCGCAAATCCTCTGGAGCTAATCTCTCCTGTAGCTGTCTTAACCGGACTAGAGAAGTCCAATAACCTAGAGAGAAAGGTTTTTGCGTCTCTTTAGGCTGGACTGAGTTAAAAAACTGAACTATTTCAGTCAGAGGAGGTGTGGCCATCAATTTACATAATTCAATCTCTAGGCTAATGGACAAAGTTAACCCATGCTTGGATTCCCCAAGTAGCGCACAGGAGAACATGAAGGGCATTAATTGGGGCAGCCATTGTGAACTTTCCTGGTTCTTAAATTCCTCTGACCGCTAAAAACCCCTGAGTGGGCTTTGCTCTGTCCTGCACGGGACAAGCTGGCAGAGCCCCGGAGAGCCCAGTTGGCTGGGGTGGAGAAGGACTGGAATCCAGTTGGTTGGTTCAGCCATGCAGGTCGATCATGGCCACCTTTCCCTGGAAGTTCCTATTTTGGCTTTCTGTCCCACAAATTGAATTACCACAGGGCAGGTTGGCCTTCCTTTAGCCAAAGAGCCATCACCTACGGGTTGCTGGGGCCATTCTTATCTCACATTAAGCCTGTTACACAACCCGTGTGCCCCAGGGGTATTTCCACAATCCTCCTCCCGAAAGCTGCTGTCGCCACAACCAGAAGCCCCCAGGCTCTCACCTCAGACCAAGGGGTGGTATACCACTTGAAGCAGGGACGCTCAAAGCAGGTGGCTTCCTCTGCCTCCTTCTTGGTAGCATCGCACGTGGCAGGGGGTCGGGTTTTGATCTTCCCACTGACAATCTCCAGGCACAGCACTGTCCGCTTCTTCAACCCTCGGCCGCAGGTGGCGTTGCACTGCCAGAAGGAAGGAAGGATCCAGATCTGGCCTGGGCAGCCGTAAGCCCGCAGAACCCTCCCTGGGGATCCCTTACCCGTTCCCAGTCCTGGGCCAGCCAGCCAGCGGGGCAATTCTTCTCCCCACAGGGGTGGATGGCGAGGGGCTTGGCTTCGGGGTTGCACTGGGTCTCTGGCACCACACGCCCATCGCTGCTTTTGCAGTAGACCTGGCGGATCATTCGGCCTGGACCGCAGCCGCCACTGCACTGCAAGGGAGAGAGAAGGCAGACGCACATGTAGGCTTATGTCTGTCATGGCCTCTCAAAGGGACAGTCTGACCCAGGGCTGAGGACAATGCTGTCCCCGGACTCTCAGGCATTGGAGGAGTTGGTCCACCAGATGGAGAGCTGCCTTGTACAGACACAGAGGATTGGCTGCTGACTGGCAGTGGTGCCAATAAATAGGCAGTCAATCTCTGACAACAAAGAGTTATCTACTCTGCTGATCCAAGGGCCAGGAGAGCAGAGGGGAGGCAGAGAAGGGCTGCAAGGCTATGTGGGAGGAGGTCACCCCACTCCTCCTCACAAGGAAGACCTGGAGGGGAGGAACCTAAGGAGTAGCTGTGGGGAGTTTGTCTTTGCCAGGAATAATTGTTTGCTTTGGCTTACACTCTCCCGCCTTTGACTCTTTTCTCTCTCTCTCTCTCTCTCTCTCTCTCTCTCTCTCTTTGTCTCAGTTTCTGTCTCTCTGTCTCTCTTTGTTTTTCTCTCTGTTTTTCTCTCTATCTCTGTCTCTCGGTTTCTCTCTCTGTCTCTGTCTCTCTTTGTTTCTCTGTCTGTTCCTCTCTCTCTGCCTCTCTTTGTCTCTCTCTTTGTCTATCTCTGTCTCTCTCTCTCTCTGTCGCCCTCGATTTCTCTGTCTCTGTTCCTCTCTCTCTCTGTCTCTCTCAGTTTCTCTCTCTCTCTCTGTCTCTCTGGGTTTCTCTATATCTGTCTGTTTCTCTCTCTCTCTCTCTCTCTCCTGTCTCTCGATTTCTCTCTCTCTCTCTGTTTCTCTCACTCTGTGTTTCTCTCTCTGCCTCTGCCTCTGTTTCTCTCTCTGCCTCTGTCTCTTTCTGTTTTTCTCTCGCTCTCAGTTTCTCTCTCTGTCTCTGTCTCTCTCTCTCTCTCCTGTCT